CAGGCGGCCGAGCTGCGGAAGGTGGAGGCCGACGTCAGCTGCGTGGCCCAGGTGGGAACGTCCTCGGACCGCTGCCGGCGCCTGTTGGGGTTCAGCTCCTGGGAAGGGGGTGGGCTCTGGGAAAGGGGCCTTGGGCAGCTCCAGGGGCTGAAGACCCCCCTTCCCTGCAGCTTCAAGAGCCTCTCAGTGCCCCCCCCCATAGCATCACCTTGCAGTAGAAATGCAAGACCATCGCCTTGGGTGGTGGCGGCAGGGTCACCCAACGTGTCATGGAGGGATGGGTCCACCTGGGGCTGGGAAGCTGGTCTCTGGGGGGTTCTCCCAGTTTGGACACTTGTAAATCCCAGTGGAGGGGACCATGGGAACTGGTCCAGAAACCTCAGAGGAGCCAAAGTGGAGTGATGGGGCTCGGAGTGTTGGCATGGCTGCAACGCTCTCCCCTTACTGGGGAGCTTAGGGACACTGCTGCGGAGTTCCATGGCCACCCACCTCTTCCTGGCACTCGGAAGCCACCTGGAGCCTTTCCAGCCACGGGAGGAGATGGGACCCTGTGGTCACACTGAGAGCAGCAGGAAAACAATTTACGGGTGGTTGAAGCTCACGAATCCCCCCGCCACGGCCCTGTCCCCATGTCCTTTGCTTTAGGAAGGGCCAGATCCACTGTGGTGGCATCAAGGGCATCACTTGCCCCGCTGCGATGGAGCAGAGCAGGACCTGCCCCTGTGACCTTGGCCACTCAGGGGGGGTTCAGGCCTGATCCTGACCCTGCTCTGCGACCCCTTCCCTTGTAGGCAGGGAGATGGGGCTGGGAAGGGTGGTGGGACTGGGAGGTGGCAGCAGGAGGTGAGGAGAACCCCGGGATGGGATGGTGGGGACAGCGTCCTCTCCGCAGAGGGTTGACATGCACAAGGAGAAGGTGTCTCGCCGGGAGATCGGCTCATTGACCGTCAGCAAGAGATTCCTGTCCTACCAGAAGATCATGGCCCCCCCCAGCCTGCCCTGCCTGGAGCCCTACTACAGGAAGCCCCTCAACTTCAGCGTCCTGGACGACATCGGCCACGGCATAAAGGTCAGCCCAGGGCTAGGAGGGTGTCCCATGGGGGTGGTGGGGGCTGTCTCAGTCCCTGATGTCCCCAGGGTTGCACTGATGGCTGCACCGGTGGGCTCAAACCCCTCCTTGATGGAGAAGCGGGGTCTGTCCACGCCTTGCAGCCCACCCCACTGGGGTTGATGGTCCCAGCTTGCGGGGGGGCTGGAAACAGTCTGATACATCAACCAGGGCTAGGAGGGTGTCCCATGGGGGTGGTGGGGGCTGTCTCAGTCCCTGATGTCCCCAGGGTTGCACTGATGGCTGCACCGGTGGGCTCAAACCCCTCCTTGATGGAGAAGCGGGGTCTGTCCACGCCTTGCAGCCCACCCCACTGGGGTTGATGGTCCCAGCTTGCGGGGGGGCTGGAAACAGTCTGATACATCAAAGGGAAACTGAG